TATATATATATATTTATAAAAGTAAATAAGAGGACTTTCCAAGAAGAGACGCAGATAACAATGTAACAGTAAATCATTACATCCTTAGTGTTGTTTATCCGTCAAACAAAGATAAAACAATAAGTATGAATACAAAGATAAAATGATAACTGTGTCACATGGTGTATCTCTTGCTGGAAAACATTACTAGTTTCTATAATATGATCTTATCATTCATACTTTTATCGCAAACTCTATTTAAATACTTAATTAAATTAAAACACTGTACCCTATCTTTCTAATTTATCTTTGTGAATATTGTAATACATTTTAAATTAGGAGGAATAATATATTTCAAGGAAATGATGCTTATCAATGAGTTACTTCGGAAATACTACGTATACGTATGTGAAACAGAAATTACACCAACAAATGATTGTGTCGGTAGAGCAGCGATTAAACTTCGGTCGTTGTAAAGAGTTGCGGGGAAAAGTACATTACGAAGACGCGACCGCGAGAAATGGCATGGTCGCACGCAAGAAAGTCTGAGCGATGCAAGTCTTTTCTCGAGTATTATACCGTAATTTGTTGCAAATGGCGTAAAAGCGGAATAGCGTTTCTCGTACATACAAATGCATTGCGGTGCAACATGACTGAATAATGAGGTGAGCAACTTGCTTGCGACAACAACGGAATATTAGAATACACGAATAGAATGCAATTCCGCCGAGTATGTCCAAACTCCAGAGCTATGTTTTGGTAACAACGCACAGCATATCGCCTTCGAGGGAAATCAATTTACCCTCGAATATATCCAAATTACGACCACGCGTAGTGGAAGCAATTTGAACTAGTAAAGCTATTCTGGTTGTTGAAATTATTTTCATTCCGCAGCTTCGTTTAAGCTTGCGATAATGTTGCGACTCTTCCTATTTTTTCTTCCTCTGTTCCGAAAACTATCAAAAATATTGCCACAGTGTTTCAACAAATCTAATTTGCAGAAAACAATCTGCGCCATCCGGTTTTATTTTAAAAAATTTAGATAATTATAGTTGGTAATGATTAAATGGCAGCTATAGCACCTTCTAGATGTTCTTTGAAATAGTAGTAATATTTATAATTGTATTCAAGTAATTAGACACGTATTCGACATTTCCCACTTCCTGGAAACAATTTATGTTCCATTTCTCAGTAATTGATCATTAGCAATGAATTTCACGTACATTAAATAATTCATTTATCCCATTTAATTTATTCCCTTATTGAATTACAGTATTAGAAATACGATTTCATTTCGCTTAGATTGTTTGTCATTTTCACAACAGAGTTACTGATAACGTCAATACAATTTTACGTAGATATACAACAATTGTTTTTTATTACTTCATTAAATTACGGATTGATATTTCAAAATTGATCCAAACCAATAATCGAATGGTGTGATAAAAAATAGATAGATAGAATATTTTGAAATTGTGATGATAAAACCGATATTATTATTTATCAACAACATATGCATTATTTTTATATGCTATTTACATTATTGTTAAACTTGAAATACTTCTTGTCAGCGGTACATAAAAAATATATATCTTATTTTTAAATATAGATCTATTCTAACTCATCATTAACAGGAAAATGTGTTAAATAATTGTGTTGAATAATTTGAATTCAATTAAACAAAAAAAACTCTATTATATGCAAAATAAACTATTATATGCAATACGTTTATTCGAAGAGAGAGAGAGAGAGAGAGAGAGAGAGAGAGAGAGAGAGAGAGAGAGAGACAGAGAAGGAAAGAGAGGCCGAAAAAAGAAATTACGCGAAAAGCGATTATTTGCCGGCTCATATGGTCGTTCATTATTTCGTGATGAGGGTCGATCGATCGACGGAAGACTCGCCTACAAGCCCGCCGGATATTCGCAGAGTGAAAGGTATCGATGTTTGCCCTTAATTCACGTCCATCACCTTTTTCTTGCATCTTCCTTTCCGACGGGCGCCGTCATTACATCACATTTATCTTCCCCCAAGTTCTCCAAGCTTTTATATATGGATGTGTGTGTGCGTGTGCGTGTGTGTGTGTGTGTGTGTGTGTGTGTGTGTGTGTGTGTGTGTGTGTGTGTCTTTACACACACACATATATATATATATAAGAATATATATCTTAGATGTGTAGGTACATACAGACTAACGCATATATCCACATATACGGTAGCATTTAACAGAACTCTTGTGGCGCAACGAGATTTATACGTGAAATTAGAATAGCAAAGCGCTCGTTAAAAAAGGAACCCGACGTTTAATTCCCGAATAAAAGCAGAATGCTTGTCTAACGTACCGCACCTGCGACCTGCGATCGCACAAACAAAAAAGGAAAGAGAAAAAAATTTTTTAAAAGAAATGAAAATCCAATTCTATATGAATGCAATGCCAACGACGATTCAAGAGCACATTTTATGATAATAAGAAAATAACGAAACGCCATTAGCGGCTGTTGTTTTCTGAAATGTGATCTCGTCGAAAGATAACATTTTCGCTAGGGATTGCGCTTGCCTATGCACGAGTATATGCTATTTTGCGCCTCGAAATCAGCATACCTAGTTCTACCTTTGACCCATTAATCATTCCGGACAGTGCGGTCGTTTTAATTAACAAGATTAACAATTAACGGAAGAGAATATGTACATTAACGACAAATATGAGGATATGACTCTCCTTTCGGGAAAATATGAATTAATTCCGTAGGATTAATAAATGAAACCACATATGTTACAAATTCAATTTCACAATATTTCATTAAGTGTATCATAGATATTTCAAGATTCTCAAAAATTTCTAAAATATACTCTCTAAAAAGATATCCTTCAATCTCGGTTTTTTTCACTGTAAAAGTGAAAATGATTATATAATTTGTAAAACAAATCCATGTTTCGCACAAAATATTATTTCTAGATTTTTTTCTCTAGTGTTTGTTGCCTGACATTTAAAAAAAAATCATTATTATAAATAAATT